GTCTCCTAAGGTTTTCATCTCTCCAAAGCTAGTCAGAGAAATGCTTTGTCCATCGTCCAGTTCCCAGACCAATATACCAGTAGTGGAGTGGCAACTAAAGGTAATGGGGTCATTAGGACATATTGTTATATTACTGGAATTACTAGTGACATTCTGTATCATATAAACTATAAAATAAGAAAAAATAACAAATAACACTAATTGATGCTTTAATGCTTCTACTTACCTTGTGGATCAACTGGTTTAATATATATATCAATGGTTTCAATGTTACCATCATTATCACTACAAGTTAATGAAGTATTGGATGAAGAAACTGCCGTTGCTGTTGACGATATTGATGATTCATTGATATTTAAAAGCATCAAACTAAAATCACCAAGTGTAGCAGCTTGCTGAGAACCATTGTTGATAATTGGAGTACCACCATCACCTACCCACTGTATAAAGTCAGAACCAGTAATTACACATGTTATTTGTATTGTAATCCCAGGGAAAACGGTAATGCTGTCTTCTACAGTATTAGTGACATTCTGTGTAAGGATTACTAGAAAATAGAGGGAGGAGAGAAGACAAAAGCAAGTTAGCTTCAGATTTAAATAATAGATTTTCCATTAGCAAATACAATTTATGCATCATTTCATACCTATACAGCTGTCACTGCAGCTAGATCATGCATGCAAAGAATGTGTCTACTACTACTCTACTCCCAGACCCTTTAAGATACCTGTTGGACTGACAATAGCAACAAAACAAGAGAGAAACAGCAACAGGAGGACACGAAAGAATGATAAGATCCTCATAGCTGAGGAGCTCAGGAACTAGATCAAGAGACAGAGGAGGGACAGTGTTTTCTTTAGTACAAAGTTCATTGTAAATTTGTAACACCCTTTTCTGAGTCAGCAAGTGCGCTAATTAGCTTTTTGTGGGAGCGGCTTGTAGAAATTGACATCATTCATTGGATCTAATCATGCTTTACTCTCTCTCTGGCTCTGCTCTTTCTTTCCTCCTCTGTCTTGCTTGTCTGTCCAGTACAGTAACTGGAGCAGGTAAATTATACTTGAATGTTTTATATTATTCAGCTCTCCATTTCTTTTCCCTGTGTTCTCCTCCACTGCAGTAACCCTTGTTACGGATTATGATGACTATGCTTGTCCTAATACAAACGCAGTGATTAGATGTACAACTGATACTGGCCAGCTAGTGTGGACCTCAGGAGGCAATCAAGCCTACAGCACAAGCAGTAGTCTCAATGTACCTCACTCTGTGGGCAGCTTCACTGTAAGATTGATCTCAAAATTAGGGAGCACATTGGAATCCACTGCAGTTATAAATGCAACGAGCTCTAATAATGGATCGACTGTTATTTGTGGGGATAGCTTTTCTGCTGGGGGGATGACTGATACTGCTGTTATTTTACTAGCTAGTAAGTTAATGATAATAAATTGACACGCTTGGTCCTCATGGACTGAATCATTTAAATGATACTGAAAGCATTAGCATTGTACAGCTATCTAGTTTGTAGAATTACAGCCTATATATATATATATACGTGCCTAAAAACCCACATCAGCGGAAACTTTAATGCGTAGATGATTTAGCCTAAACCCAAACTTTCAGTCATTAGTCCCTCCATATACCTTCATTTGTAATAACTTGACTGCCCTCTGATCTAATCTGTTACTATCTCTGATCTCTCCCCATATAGCAATTCCTAGTCAACCACTGAATTTCATTAATACTACTACAACATATGATAGTGTTGTATTGAACTGGACTACCCCTACATCACTGGGAGGTGTAGCAATAGATCAGTACAGGGTCACAATATCACCATCACTTCAATCATCTTGTCCTGGGCAGTGTATGACTACCGGTAATAACACTGAATCTCTTACCATTACTAATCTACAATACGGTGTTACGTACACGATCACTGTTGCTGCTAGTAATTGTGCTGGAATAGGACAATCTCAGACTCTTAATGTCACCATTACTGCAATAGGTAAGTGTTTAACAGACTGTCACCTTTGCTTACATTGGTCCCAAGAAAAAACAAAAATTCTTTGAAGTAGTTTGTTATTCATTGGTGACCAGTTACAATTTTTAGAACTGCTGACTTTCATCAGTTCTATATTCTGTTTTCATTGTTCTTAAAAGTGAAGCATAAACAGACAGAATTAAAAACACTGCTTTGTTTATTATTATA